AAACACTTATGCTCACCAATTTGCTACATAATAAAGAATATGATAAAGGATACAGTTAAACAGTAAGATGAAGAGACACATTGGGCAAGGCCTGGAAAGTTCCAAGGACTGGAGCTTCTGTCCCAGTGGAGTTGGGGTGTGCCGCCTCCCAGCACACCAACCTGGAAGCCCTGTGGTTCACAGATCATCATGGAGGCTTCATCACAAAGGCATAATCAACGGTTAATTCACTCAGCAGCCCCTCTCGAAGCTTCTCTTTTTAAAAAATTAATTTATTTGGCTGCATTTGGGTGTCAGTTGTGGCAGGCGAACTCTTAGCTGTAGCATGTGGGATCTAGTTTCTTGACCAGGGATCGAACCTGGGCTTCCTGTATTGGGGAGTGCAGAGTCTTAGCCACTGGGAGAAGTTCCATCCAAGTTTCTAATCATGGCCCAGTCTTCCTGGTGACCAGATGCCATGCTGAAGATATCCAGGACTCCACCCAGAGTCACCTCATTAGAGCAAAAGAATCTGCTACTGCCCAGGAAACATCAAGGGATTTAGGAGCTCTGTGTCAGGAACCCATGGTAAAGACCAAATGTATATTTCTTATTAGGTCACAGTTACACATGTGTGGGGAAAAGTTGGAACGGGCTGTTAGAGCAGTTTTTTTGGGGAAAGAAAGGGTTTACAGATTTTTGTTTAACTTCTCTGTATTTTAGAATTTTTTAAAATATCTTTTGGCCGCACCACATGGCGTATGGGATCTTAGTTTCCTGACCAGGAATTGAACATGTGCCCCCTGCATTGGCAGTGTGGAGTCTTAACCACTGGACCACCACAGAAGTCCTGCATTTTGTGATTTTTTTTGTTAAAATTATCATGTTTAGTTATGTAATTCAAATGTACTAAATATTACTTCCCAGGTGGCACTCATGGTGAAGAATCCCCCTGCCAATGCAGGAGACACAAGAGAAGTGGGTTCGATCCCTGGGTCAGGAAGATCCCCTGGACTCGGAAATGGCACCCCACTCCAGTATTCTTGCCTGGAAAATTCCATGGACAGAGGAGCCTGGTGAGCTACGGTCCATGGGGTCATACAGAGTTGGGCACGACTGAACGACTGAGCACAAAATAATCAACATGAAGCCTTTACCTGTGATCCAGCCAGGGCCAACTGTTGGCAAGGTCAGGAGGCCTTCCAGACAGAGCAGAACCTGCCCCCACCCCAGTTTCACAAGCTGAGCTCTGCCTGGACACCCTTGTCCTGTGGTCGCCCCCACGCCCTCCATATTCACACCCACCATCACCTCTTGTGGGTAAGGCCCTCCCCTTCCCAATCCTGGGCGCCCACACACCGAAGCCTGAGAGTCTGTCTGTCTGTCTCTAAAGAGGGGAACTCCTTAGGGCACGCACCCTGCTAGACCTATCACCCTAGAGCCTGGCATAAAGAAAAAGAGTATTTGGTAAGTGAATGAATGAAGGCGGAACTAATCCTAGAGAAGCGGATTTCCTAAGGCCTTTCTCCAGCAGGTGCAACCAGTTCCCCTTTCAGCCGTCTCCTGGGCAGAGAACCTGGTGTGAGGAGTAGGGGGTACAAAGCCCAGTGTTTCTGAGGTCAGGAGAAGCAGACTGGATGGACACGGGGCTTGTGTGGGACTTGGAGAGGGAGTGCGGAGCTGCTGTGGGGCTGCAAGGGAGTGGGCAGCCTCAGTGTGGGGGGTGCCCTGGCCCACAGCAGCGGCTGTGTGCAGGATGGGAGGCCCGGCTGAGGGTGACGGTGCACAGAGACGGGTCTGCAACTGGCCCCCGATCCAGCCCGAGCCACTGACCCTGGGCCTGCACCCCTAGCCCCTCAGACCACCTCAGAGAGACACTCACCTTCAATGCATGGCTGCACAAGAGTGGCAGGTGAGAGAGAAAGGCAAGGTGAGCCTCGGCGTTAGAAGTCAAAGAATCACCTCATGGCCAGAGACTGGACAGGACTCCCATGATGATCTGTGGGGCAAATGCAGGGGGTCTTCAACTAGCCAGAGTTTCAGAGTTCTGGCCAGGACCATCCCCTACTTGCTCAGGAACGTGGGCTGACCCTCCCTCTGCTGACCTGGGGCTTTCTCTCAGGCAGACAGATGAGATCCACGCTTGCCTGCTTGCCTCCACCTCCTTATGAAGCCTTCTGCTCTCCACCTGTGGGGTGTGTGGGGCTGGGATGAGCAGGTGCTCACCTGTGGGCCTCTGACTCCACTGCCCCAGGTGGGTCTGGAGAGCCTGGTCTATACGCAATGTTCCAGCACCCTCCCCTAGCCACCTGGCTGTCTTGTCTTTGTTACTGGGGACTATCTCACGCCCTGCAGGCTGTTTAGCGGTGTTCCTGCCCTCTGTCCTCTGGATGCCAGCATTCTATAGTTATGACAACTAAAAATAGCTCCAGACATTATCAAATATCCCCTCGGAAGGCGAAATCATCCCCAGTTGAGAAGCCCAGGCCATAGCACCTCTAGGATAATGTTGGGTCATAATGAGAGTGCATTACTGCTCCTGACTTTAAGGGGAATACATCTAGTATTAAAATATAGTATCTGTATACTCCTGTCCAGGGCTAGTATACTAGTATACTGTATCAAAGTTTAATTTGCAAAAAAGTGAAAAACAAGACTTTCATACAAGTGGAGGAAAGCATGTCAAATATTTAATTAATGAGGGAACAGTAAGATGGTAAAGCTAATTCAAAGAACTTTTAAAAAAATCTTTTGGCCATGCGGCATGTGGGACTTTAGTTCCCAACCGGGGATCCAATCCATGCCCCCTGCATTGGCAGCACAGAGTCTTAAACATTGGATCACTGGGAAAGTCCCCAAGGAACATTTTGAGAAGTTTTGTTTTTTTTTTTAATTGAAGGATAATTACTTTACAGAATTTTGTTGGTTTCTGCCATACATCAACATGAATCAGCCAGAGGGATACATATTTCCCCTCCCTCTGAACCTCCTTCCCGTCTCTCTCCCCACCCTACCCCTCTTGGTTGATACAGAGTCCCTGTCTGAGTTTCCCGAGTCATACAGAAAATTCCCATTGGCTAATTTATTTTACATACGGTAATGTAAGTTTCCATGTTATTCTGTCCATACATCTCACCCTCTCCTTCCTCCCCCACCCTCGTGTCCTTAAGTCTGTTTTCTATGTCTGTGTTGAGAAATATTTCTAGTGCACAAGCAAAGGCATTTCAAAGTGTGTGCTGAGAGACAAAAACCCGATAATTACATATGGGGCAATGAAATTGTAATCTTTGGGGTTATATTTTCTAATAGACAGAAAATCATGAGTTAACATATAATTTCTCAGATACATTTTCCTACATTAGTGGCTTTCAAAGTATAGTCCCCAAACTGGATTTCTCAGCAGACCAGGGAACCTGTTGGAAATGCAAATTTTCAGGTCTCATTCCAGAGCTAATTAATTACAGAAATTCTGGGGGTGGAGCCTAGTACTGTTGTAACAAACCCAGCAGGTGATTCTTAAACACTCTAAAAGTATGATAACTACTGGTCTAAATAGTCAAATAATCTTTATTTGTGAAACAAATCTGTGAGACAATGCTCCAGTACGATATTAAAAGGACATGCCACCTGCCTTTTGCCTTATTTCCAAACTTAAATAGTCTGTTTGCTGTTTGCTGTTTTGTCTTTCAAATACCCTATCAAGTTAGGGCAGTTTTCACCTATTTATAATTTTTTTCTTTTTTTAAATAATGATTTCCTAAATGCATCAATTCATTTCTTCTTTTGGAACTATTCTTGTCCTCTTTAAAGAAAAAAAATTTGATATGGTATATTGCAACACTATTGATTTCATTGTACTGATATTGATGATTTTTTAAAAGATCTTTTTAAGTGTGATCAATTTTAGCAAAAATTAACTTTCTCTCTATTTATGGAGTGGTTTAATTGTCATGGGCTCTATCTGTCCTTTGAAAGCTTGAAAGTCTGCAACAATAAAACAATCAGGGTCTACTGTATAGGTGAGAGGCATGGAACTAAAGAGAGAAATCAAACTGTTCAATTTCTTTTTTGGTCATTAGTTTATACTCTAGTGTATTTTTGTTGTTGCTATCTTTTGTTTGTTTTTATCTATTTAAGCCAATACTGGAAACTTAGTTTTCCTGGCCTATTCATTACTTCAAGCTCACCAGTAAGCAGACTAATACAATTTAAAGCAACCTTTTTCTCTCCCACTAGATTGAGAAAAATTAAGATAAACAGCTGATGTTGGTGAAGCTGCAAAAGCATTCTGAGCATGTCAACTGTTACAGGCTTTTTGCTATGCAGTTAAAGGGATTCGTCAAAATGGAATAAAATACCCAGGCACTACCAGGCACCTGAAGGCGGTATCTGGGGTACTGGTAATGTTTCCCTATTTGGCTGTTGGTTACATGGGGCATACGGTTTATGAAAATTCATTAAGCTCTGTATTTGTACTATGTACAATTTCCTGTATGGGCATTCTATTTCAATAAGGTTTTAAAATTTTATCTGTTGCCACAACCCACACCTGCTAGAGCTTCCCTGGTGGCTCAGAGGTTAAAGCGTCTGCCTCCAATGCAGGAGACCCAGGTTCGATCCCTGGCTTGGGAAGGTCCCCTGGAGAAGGAAATGGTAACCCACTTCAGTCACTCCAGTATTCTTGCCTGGAGAATCCCATTGACGGAGAAGCCTGGTAGGCTACAGTCCACGGGGTCGCAAAGAGTCAAACACGACTGAGCGACTTCACTTCACACCTGTATAGTAAGGGAGCTGTACTGATGCAAAACACGAAAACGACCTGAATACCACTGCAGAAAGGAAGGCCTCCCCTGCCTTAAAGAGAAAAAATTAAACGGCTTCCACTCCCTCTTCCTGCTGCTTTGGTTCTGCTTTCAGTTAACCTGGGGGTTGGCACTGGTCCTTTCCGGAGAAAGGTTCTGGGGACTGACAAAGGGACCCCGTATCTCGCTCCAGCAACTCGGGGTTGGGCGGCTCGTGATCCGAGGAAGCCCCGCCCAGCGTCACGTGACCGCTGCATCAGCTGACCCGGCGCGACAGGAAGGTGAAAGTCCTAGGCGCGGGCTTCCTGGAGCAATGGTGAGGGGTGAGGGTTGATACGAGGCTGTGGTTGCTGGGGGGCGGGCACGGTAGGAAACCCCAAATCCCCCTGCCGCTGCTGCGGGAAGGGTGGGGCGCTGGATGCGAGGAGATGGGGAATCTGCCTGGGTCGCGGAGCAGACACTTGGGTGCGGTCGTTAAAGCCGAGGGTCTGGTAAAGAAAAGCCTCCTTCCGTCCTCCTCCAGCAGGGCGGGGCGGCAGGCTTGGAGTGTCTTGACTGGAAGGAAGGGCCCAAACTCCCAGGGGCAGAAGCTGGGGCTTGTCTCTCCAGGCCTTTCTCTGCCCGAGTAAGACATCCCGAAGGCGCCCACCTCCCAGCCTTCCTGTGGAACTTGGAGAAACACTTCCTGACAATTTGGCTCAATCTTCTGCACTGTTAGGAAATCCCTTTGCTCTTCCCGGAGGCACAAAGGAGTATATACGGGCTGGAAACTTCTCAACTTATCCATTCATTGATTCCTTTAACAGATTGTGAGTGCCTGCTGTATATCAGGCACTGTGCCAGGCATTAGGACTTGGGCTGCAGGAGGGAAGGGCAGAGTTGGAGGCTTGAATGGGCAGTCATAATTAAGACCTGAGCCGGAAGGGACTAAACTCACCTTGTGCATAATGCCTGAAGGCTTCCCAAGGATGACATCACCTGAGGGCCTGGGAGCCGGGAAGAAAGCTTGCTGGGGCAGAAAGCAAGCAGCTAGTGTACCAGGAATTGGGGGGCATGGAAGAGGGCTGGTGGGAGGCTGTATCTTCAGATAAGGGACAGCATTCAAAGACTTAAGGTGAGTGAGAGCTCGGAACCCTAGGAATGAATACATCTCATCACCTGGAAGAGTAGAAACTAGAGGCTAGTGAACGACTGATAAGCAAAGACTACAGCTTGCTGGGTCTTCAGAGGAGTTTGGACTTTTAAGAAAGGCCGGCAGGGAAAGGAGGAAGAGCCTGGGGCAGCAGACACTCCCCCACCCAGGAGATGATAGTGACTTGAGAGAGCGTGGAGATAGAAGAGGAGATCATCGGGGCTCAGAGGCTAAATGCATGAGGGAGAAGGGGGAGGGAGGGAGCTGGGCTTGGTTCCCAGGTGCTGGTGCTCAGTGGTGGCGGGACAGGTGGGGGCAGGTTTCAGAGGGAAGAGAACCAGTCACTGTGATACATGCTGAGTGAGGCCTCTAAGCCGCCAAGTGCACCTGCGTAGGAGACAGACTGGATTTAAGGGTATGGAGCTCAGAAGAGAATCTACAATACAATGGTGGTTATAAATTTGGGAGTCATCTGCAGAAAGATGATCTGTCTCAGCCACAGTGTGAGTTCAGAAGAGAGAGCCTAGGACAGAACGTAGAGAAATGCTGGTATTTTAAGAAGTTACACAAGGCGTCTACGGCCATACCACCCTGAACGCGCCTGATCTCCTCTGATCTTGGAAGCTAAGCAGGGTTGGACCTGGTTGGTACTTGGATGGGAGAAGTTACACAAAGAACACATTTTTATGGTATAAATGTAAATAATACAGAGATGGTAGAAGTCAGAGAAAGTCCAGAGATAAAATAGTCCAATGGGTAGAAGTCAGGAGCCCATGAACTTAGGAAAAATACTATATCTCAACTTTCACTAACTTCAAACTGAAATTTAATATTTCCTCCAGTTAGGATTGTTGGCAACAGACCTCAGTATTATTAGCAGCACCTCTGACTTTGTCACTAATGGAAATCAGATATTTTCATGTCACAGCTGTTGGGATTATTTACATATTTATGTTCATTTCCAAATTACTGTCATCACTTGAATTGAAACATATGTCACATCACCAATTGGTTTTGAATATTTTGATAACTTTTTTTTCCCTGCCACACCATGTGGCTTGAGGGATCTCTGTTGCCCGATCAGGGACTGAACCGAGGGCCACAGCAGTGAAAGCCCAGGATCCTAACCACTAGGCCACCAGGGAACTACCTATTTTGATAACCTTTAATTAGTGTCTTTTACTATGTAGTTTTTCCTGTGTACTTTATTCATTTGAAAACATTGTTTTGAGAGAGGCTTGTAGACTTCACCAGATGCCTGATGAGTCCTTGCCACAAAACAATTAAAAATCCCTGAAGTAGGGAAAGAAGCCCCAGACTTTGCTTAACACCCCACCACCTCACCAGCGGTCCCAGTGCCTTGCCTCAGAGTAATGACAGCAGGCAGTCTGCAGAGATCACCATTTGGGGGCTGCGGTTCAGGAGGGGTGGGCCAGCAAATGAGACAGAGGCCAGGCCAGAGGGAGAAATCCAGAAGAGTGTGTGGCTTCAGGAAGAAGGATGGGTTTGTGTCTCCTGTTGTGGATTAACTAAGGAAGAGGAAGACTAGGTTTAGTGACAAAAGTCATTTGTGACCATGGCTAGAGGACTTCACTGGGGTCACATGTGATCAAGGGGGTGGCAGGCCAGAAAGGTTTGGAGTGGAAGGGTCATGGAGCAGGTCTGAAGTGACTGATAAGGTGAACAGTGGGGCAAAGTAGAAGACATGCAGTTAATGGGGCTGCCTTGAGGGCCCGGCAGAATCAGGAGAACGTGGATTCACGGTGTCTCCAGTTGGCGGGTTTTGTTCCCAATATCTGAAAGCAATGCAGGTGGAGGTGTGGAGAGATGAACATGTACATTGCGTGCATTAGAGCTTTGCTGCAGAAACAGAACAAAGGACAGTGGATCAGGTGGGTGGAGGATATTATCAATATGTGGTTGACTGGGTGGGTTTGCATTCTAACAGAAGACATCTTGAATATATTGTGATATGTGGTATGATAAATGCTGTGGAGATCAAAAAGGAAGAGAAGGAGCTAGAACATGATGGTGAAGAACTGTTTAAACGGCTTCTGTGAGATAAAATTAACATAAATCATACATGTGTAAATGTATGGTTCAATAAGTTTTGATGTGTATGCTCATGAAAACATTATCACAATCAAGATAATGAATACATTTGCTGACCTTCCCAAATTACCTTGTGTGAAGGGCTATTTAAGAAAGCAAATAGTCAGAGAAAGCCCATCAGAAGAGGTGTCATTTGGGCAGAGACCTGAGTGAAATGAGAGAGCAAGCCACGTTTAATTTGCAGCAGAAGCAACAGGGAGGCCAGTGTAGCTGGAGCTGGAGAGGGAAAGAAGAGGAGGTGAGAGGGTCATGCGTTCCGTGTGGCACCTCCAGCGCTTACAGTGGGTTCTCCCACAGAGCAGGCACCCAGGCTTGTCCGCAGAGCAGGTGAATGCCTGGGACACGCATCAGAACAAGGTTTGGTGGCAGGAAGAATCAGGGAGAGTGTTCTCTAAACAGCCTGGTAGTAGGGGAGAACAAGTGGCCAGAGCTCGTCCATCTTGGACAGGGAGCAGGAAGCCGGAGGAGCAGTAGCTCAGGAGACACCTGGGCATGTGTCGCCCTGCCCTCCAGCCTGACCACCTACCTCACTCTCTTGCAGAGGTTCCGATTCTGTGGTGACCTGGACTGTCCTGACTGGGTCCTGGCAGAGATCAGCACGCTGGCCAAGATTGTTGAGTGCAGGGGATCTTGGGGTGGGGGGCGTGGAGGGTGGTGAGGTCACTCTTGAGTTGGGACCTCAGCCCTCTTGGGCCATTCTCCCATGCTGTGTGACTGATCCTGCGGCCAGCCCCTTCTGAGCCAGGCCGTCAGCATGCCTGTGTAAGGTGGGTCAGTCTGGCTGATACAAGGCTTCCCCCTCCAGTCCTCTGTGAAGCTGAGGCTGCTGTGTGGCCAGGTGCTGAAGGACCTTCTGGGAGACGGGCTTGATGTGAGTACAGGCCCCTGCCCCCGCCCCCCGTGGTCCCATGACCCGGGGACCCCACTGCCCTGAAAGTGCACCAGACCGAGGGGGGTGGGTGATCAGCTCCCACCCTCCCTGAATACCTCGTGTCCTTACCACCGGGTCCAGGCCAGGGGGCTGGTGAGCAGGGAACCAGCCCCGCCCTGAGGGCCTCCTTTCTTCACAGTACGAGAAGATCCTGAAGCTCACTGCGGACGCCAGGTTTGGTGAGCACCCCACTGGCTCCACAGACCTTTGGGTGACCCTGGGTACTTGGCCTGGGGCCTGGCACAGAGGCCCCTCCTCCCAGCCCACTCTGACCCGCTGGCCTCGGCAGAGGAGATAAAGGAAGGAAAGCCGCTGCCACCCCAGGGCCTCCACCAGCTCCCAGTGGCGCAATGGCAGTGCTCGTGGCTTTAGGAGGCCTGGGGACTCTGAGCTGAAGATAGTAGGGCCACAAGGAGGTATTTGGGGCAGTAGTGACACCCCCACTCCACCCACGGCTCCCTCCAGAGTCAGGCGATGTGAAGGCCACAGTGGCGGTGCTGAGTTTCATCCTCTCCAGTGCGGCCAAGCACAGCGTGGATGGCGAGTCCTTGTCCAGTGAACTGCAGCAGCTGGGGCTGCCCAAAGGTATGGGGACGACCTACAGGTGGGTGACCTCTGGGCCGAGGGGTGCTGGGCAGAGGTCAGGCTATGTGACCCTGGGACGCACCTTGCCTTCTCTGGGCCAGGAGCCTGAGACCTGCGCTCTGAGCCACCTAAGCCTGAGCCCCCACCTGCTAGCTCAGGGGACGTCCTTTCGTCCCCAGAGCACGCGGCCAGCCTCTGTCGCTGCTACGAGGAGAAGCAGAGCCCCCTGCAGGAGCGCCTGCGGGTCTGCAGCTTGCGGGGTGAGTGCAGGGTGGGCCCGGGTTGGGGCTGGGCTCCATTCTGGAAGGTGCCTGTGGCTTGGGAGGTGTTTGTCCTCAGAAAGGATACTTAACTGCATCACATCAAGTAGTCACAGGGCTGGGATTCCTGGCTCCAGCCAGGTTTCTCTCCTCTGAGACCTGCTCTGGGTAATCTCTGAGTTCCTGGGTCAGAGGGATGAGAGCCTCTCAAAGGCCACAGAGCCCTGGAGGGTTCAGGGTTGAGCCAGGGTGAGGGCTCGGGTCGCCTGGCTCCCTGGCCTGTGACCTCAAGCCCCTCTTGGTCTCACAGTGAACAGGCTGGTCAGCGTGGGCTGGCGGGTGGACTACACCCTGAGCTCTAGCCTGCTGCGTGCTGTGGAGGAGCCTTTGGTACACCTGCGGCTGGAGGTTGCAGCTGCCCCAGGTGCCCCGACCCAGCCTGTCACCATGTCCCTCTCAGCAGACAAGTTCCAGGTCCTCCTGGCAGGTGAGGCTCAGCTGTATCAGGAGGGTAAGGGGCGCCCTGAGATCCCGCCTAACTGCCGCCTGCCTGCCTGCCTCTCCCCACTGCAGAGTTGAAGCAGGCCCAGGCCCTGATGAACAACCTGGGCTGAGAAGAAAAGCACAGGGCCCCATGTGGAGCTGCCCTTGAACTTCTCATTATGGGGCGGCCCCAGCTCCAGGACCCTGAGGGCCTGGTCTCCTGGATCTCTGGCTTCCTAGGTTACTGCCTGGGATCCTGAGAACACTTCCAGCATTGCCTTCCCTCCCCCGTGAAAGGCACTTATCAATGGTTTTCCTGAGAAGGAACAATAAACAGAAATGTGGAAAGTGTAAAGCAGTGTGTGCATGATTTCTTTAGGGTTCAGATCAGAGGTTTTCGTGACAGAGACAGTGGTACACTGACCTATGATACATTTTCTTTTCTCAGCTGCTGACTGAGGCAGGTCAGGGGTGAGGCAGAATGAGAACCAAAACGGGACAGCTTGTCTGTAGACAGGAGAAGCAGGGCTCCAGCTCTCAGTCCTGGGATGCTCTTGGCCTTGCCTTGTCTGTGCTGGCCTTGTCTTGAAGCTGGCAGCAAGTAGGTGGCCCCAACACCAGATGCCCCAAGTAGAGAAAGGAGGGAGCCTGTGACTCCCTGTCATTTTCTCTAGGAAGAGAGAAGGCCTGTGCCCGAACCACTCATTGGCAAGGGGAATGGGATATGGGCTGCATGATTGTGAGCCCACCCCTAAATTCCTATGTCCAAGCCCCAACCCCAGTGAGATGGTTTAGGAGGTGGGGCCTTTGGGAAGTAATCAGTTTCAGATGAAGTCATGAGGCCTGCATGATGGGATTAGTGTTCTTATAAAAGAAGACACTCTTTTCCTACAAACATGTACTGAGGAAAGGCCGTATAAGAACATAGCAAGAAGACAGCTGTCCAACAAAGCAGGAAAGAGCCCTTACCAAGAACTGACTCTGACTTGAATGTGGACTTCCCAGTCTCTGGAACTGTGAGAAATATATGTCTGTTGTTTAAGCCACCTAGTCCATGGTATTTTGTTATAGCAGCCTGAACAGACTGAGACAAAGGGCTTCCTAGGACTGTCTTAGGCCATCCAGGGCCACTTGTAGAAAAGACTGATCCTGGGTCTGGGGCAGGGAGAGGACAGGGGGAGCCTAGAACATCTCAGGGTCCAAAAGTGAAAGTGAAGTCACTCAGTCGTGTCCGACTCTTTGCGACCCCATGGACTGTAGCCCACCAGGCTCCTCCATCCATGGGATTCTCCAGGCAAGAGTACTGGAGTGGGGTGCCATTGCCTTCTCCAGGGGATCTTCCTGTTCCAGGGATCAAACCTGGTTTCTCCCACACTGTAGGCAGACGCTTTTATGATCTGAGCCATCAGGGAAGTCTCAGGGTCCAAGGAAACTGTCAAAAATGAGTCATGTCAACAGGTGCAAGCTTGACCCACTGGCTAAAGATGGGACAATTTAAAGAGACAAGGCCTGACTCCCCTCCTGGCTTCTGGAGAAATGGAACAGATGGGCTTTTCTCTGTTCCTCCTCCTAAGTGCAGCTAGAAACCTTGGACATTTTTTATAAAACAAGCATGAGACTACAAAAGGTGATGAGATGGCAGACTGGCTAGGATCCTCAAGACCTGAAGAACAATACAGCAAAAAATTCCTTAGATTTTGTTTCATGTATCCCAAGCTGAGTGATGGAGAAGCTTACCACCTAGAAACACCAACACACAAAGGAAGCCCCGACAAAAGCCTGCTTTCTCTAAGCAGTAGACGAGGAAAAGGACAGTCCAGCAGCACAGAAAAGTTAGAGACAGTAAGGGCTGTCCTCCAGCCACACCCTGCAGAACCGCAGTTCCCCTTCCATCCCTGCCTACAAAGGCTGAGTGGGAGCTTAGACCCTACCCCAGCTCACAGGAGGTGGCATAGCCCTTCTCCAACTAGCCCCATGTCAGAGAAGGCCTGCTAAAAGAGAAGATTTAAATACGATCCAGTCTCATAATACCCAAAATATTTAGAATTCAATTTTTAAAAATCATTGTACCAAGAACCGACAAAATTTCAACTCAAATGAAAAAAGACAAATGCCAACACTAGAATGTCTCAGATGTTACAAGTCTATGTTACGGATTTTAAAGCAGCCATCCTAGAAATGCCTCAAGTCTCAGCAGAGAAATAGAAGATATAAAGAACAAGATAAACATTTTAGAACCGAAAACCACAATAGCCCAAGTAAAAATCTCAATGGGTGAACTTAACTACAGAAGAAAGAATCAGTGGATTTGAAGATAAACCAATAGAAATTACCCAGTCTAAACAACAGAGGGAAGATAACTTGGACAACAACAAGAACAAAAAAGTAAATAAAATAGAGCCTCGAGGACCTGTAGGACTGTTAACAAAAGATCTAGTACGTGTGGTGTCAGAGTCCCAGAAGGTACAAAGAAGGAGGGTAGAACAGAGAAATACTCAAAGAAATAATGACCAAAACTTTTCCAGAATATGGCAAAGGACACAAATGTAGAGAGTCAAGAAGCTGAATGAACTTCACACAGGTTGAATCTAAAGAAATTTATGTCAAGACACATCATAATCAAACTTCTGAGAACTAAAGAAAAGAAAAAAATCCTGAAAGCAGCAAGACAGAGATGACACCTTACATATATGTGGAAAACAATTCGAATGACTGAATATCTCATCAGAAACCACAAGAGGCCAAAGACAACAAACACAACACGTTTCAGGCCCTGAAAGAAGTGTCAACCCAGAATTCTATATTCAGAGAAAGTCACCTCGAGTAAAGGACAAGGGACTTCCCTGGGGGTCCAGTGGCTAAGACTCCACACTCCCAAAGCAGGGGGCCCGAGTTCCATCCCTGGTCAGGAAACTAGACCCCACGTGCTGCAACTAAGAGTTCACATGATACAACTAAAGATCCCACATGGGGACTTCCCTGGTGGTCCAGCAGTTGAGAGTCCACCTGCCAATGCAGGGGACATGGGTTCGATTCCAGGTCCAGGAAGTTCCCACATGTTGCGGGAAAATTGGGCCTGTGTGTCACAATTACTGTGTCCGCAAGTTGCAACTACTGAAGACCACCATCTAGATCCCGTGCTCCACAACAAGAGAAGCCATTGCAATGAGAAGCCTTCACACTGTAAAAAGAAAGCCCATGCAGCAATAAAGACCCAGGGCAGCCAAAAAGAAATAATTAAAATTAAAGATCCTACATGCCACAGCTAAAGATCCCACATGGGACAACTAAAAATCCTCCGTGCTGCAAGTAAGACCTAGCACAGCCAAAAAAAAAATACATATTTTTTTTTAAGAGTAAAGGGCGAGTAAAAGAATGAAATTAGAACATTTCTCATACCATAAAAAAAAATAAAAACGGATTAAAGACCTAAACGTAAGACCAGATATGATAAAACTTGAAGAAAACATAGGCAGAATACTCTTGACATAAATTGTAGCAATTTTGGGGGAGGGATTTTTTTCTTCCTAAGGCAAAGGAAACAAAAGCAAAAATAAACAAATGGCATGTAATTAAACTTAAGAGTTTTGGCACAGCAAAGGAAACTATTGACAAAAAAGTGTACAGAATGGGAGAAAATAATTGTAAATGATATGACTGGTAAGGGATTAATATCCAAAATATATAAATAGCCCACAGAACTCAATATCAAAAAAGGAAACAACCTGATTGAAAAATGGGCAGAAAACTTGAATAATCATTTTTCCAAAGAAGACATAGGAATGGCCAACTGGCAATGAAAAGATGCTCAGCATTGCTAATTATTAAAGAAATGCAAATCACAACCGCAATGAGATATCACCTCCCACCTATCGGAATGGCTATCACCAAAAAGACTACAAATAACAAATGTTGGCAAGGATGTGGAGAAAAGGGAACCCTTGTTCATTGTTGGTGGGAATATAAATTGGTACAGCCACTGTGGAAGCTATATTGAGTTTCTGCAAAAAAAAAAAAAAAAGCAATAAAACTATCATATAATCCAGCAATCCGACTTCTGTGTATTTATCTGTAGGAAATAAAGACACTAATTCAAAGAGATACACGCACTCCAATGTTCATAATATATTATACATATCACTCATCCATAAAAAATAATGAAATTTTGCTTTTTACAAAAATATAGATGGACCTAGGAGAGTATTATGCTTAGTAAAATAAATCAGAGAAAGACAAAATCGTGTATGATATCATTTACATGTAGAATCCAAGAAATAAATGAATAGAAGTAAACAAACAAATCCATAGATATAGAGAATAAACTAATAGTTACCAGTGGGAAGACAGAAGAGGGGAGGAATAAGACAGGAGTAGGGGATTAAGAGGTACAAACCTCTTTATTTTATGTGTAAAATAAATAAGCTTCAGGGACACATGTACAGCACAGAGTATATAGTCAATATCTTATAATAACTTTAAGTGGAATATAACTATAAAAATATTGAATCACTATGTTGCACACCTGAAACTAATATAATATAAATTAACTATATTTCAATTTTTAAAAATGACAAAATTGTAAGACATTTTAAAGAGTAAAGGGGGACATCAAGACATTTGCAGATGAGGAATACCTAATAAAATTGTCACTAGCAATTCTAATATAAAAATAAAAAGGCTAAAAGGAAACCATAAATAAAAAGACAAGAGAAAATATTTGCAAATGATGTGACCAACAGGGATGAATATCCAACATACATAAACAACTCATGCAGCTCAATAGCAAATAAATCAAAAAATGGGCAAAAGATCTAAACAGACATTTTCCTAAAGACATACAGATGGCCAAAAACCACATGGAAAGCTATGCTCAACATTGCTAATTATTAGAGAAATGCAAATCAAAACTACAATGAGGTAGTCAGAATGGCCACCATCAAAAAGTCTACAAACAATAAATGCTGGAGAGGGTGTGGAGAAAAAGGAACCCTCATGTACTGTTGGCGGGAAAGTAAATTCGTACAAACACTATGGAGAACAGCATGGAATTTCTTTTTAAAATTAAAAACAGAGCTACAATATGATCCAGTAATCCCATTCCTGGGTATATATCTGGAAGGAAGCGTGATTTGAAAACATACATGCACTCCAGTGTACATGGCAGCACTATTTACAATAGCCAAAATAGTAAGCAACCTAAATGTCCATAGACAGATGAGTGGATAAAGAAGATGTGGTATATATACACAGTGGAATATTACTCAGCCATAAAAAATGAAATAACGCCATTTGCAGCAACATGGATGGACCTAGATATTATACTAAATGAAGTAAGTTAGACAAAGAAAGACAAGTGTCATATGATATTACTTATATGTGGAATCTAAAAATAGTGATACAAATGAACTTATTTACAAAAGAGAAACAGATTCACAAACATAGAAAATACACTTTCGGTTACCAAAGGGGAAAGGCTAGGAGGCAGGGATAGATTAAGAGGTTGGGATTACCATATAAACACTATTATATAAAATAGTCAACAAGGACCCACTGTATAGCATAGGGAACTCCATTCAATACTCTGTAATAACCTATATTGGAAAAGAATCTGAAAAAGAATGGAGAGATATATATACACACACATATGTATATGTGTATATGTATATGTGTGTATATGTATATGTGTATGTGTGTATAGGTGTATATATGTGTATATGTGTATATATATAAAACTGAATCACTTTGCTATATACCTGAAACTAACACAACATTGTAAATCAACTATATTCCAGTATAAAATTAAAAAAAATTTTAAGTCTAAAGGAGGACCTCTAAACAGAAAGAACGTGATAGAAGAAATCTTGAAACATTAGGAATGAAGAATAATGGAAAGAATAAAAACATGGATGCAGTAGACTTTCCTTCTCTTGAGTATTCTGAAATATGTTCAACATATTTGAAGCAAAATATAATACTGTTAGATGTGGTTCTCAATGTATGTAAAGGAGATATTGAAGGTTGTTATAAACTAGTGAGGGAAAAAGGATATAAGGTTTCTACACTTTACTCAAATTGATAAAATGTCAATATCAATGAACTGTGACAAGTATATACACACATATAATATATGTAGAGTAATACCTACAGCAACTGCTTCAAAGGCTATATACAATGTAATGCACTCAGTATAGTTAAGTCAAACTGGAATTCTAAAAGATGTTCAAGTAGCCCATATAAGGGCAAGAAAAAGAAGACAAAAGCAAAAAAACAGGGAATAAAGTGCAAATTAAATGGCAGTCACAAAAAGAATTCCAAGTCTCATCAAATTCGTAATAGAAGCTTGGTTACCCAGGTAGCATTCCCTCTTCTGTGTCATCACAGAATCTCCTCTCATTGCTATTGTAGCACAGCATTGCAATTTTGTATTTATTCACTTGCCTTTTACCAGTCTTTCTTAAGGACAGGAACTGTATTTACCTGTTTGTATAGCCCTAAAGACTAAAACAGTACTCCTTCAATAAGTGGGGGAAAAGATAAAGATTTGGCAGGGAACAGATCTAGCTATTGAAAATAAAAAAAATCCATGAGTCCATAAAAGATAAACCCCCTCTCCGTAAAAAATCAACCCTAATTTGTCACCCTTGGACTTTATTGCACCAAATTCTTAGTCTAAAAATTGATAATTGAAGAGAAGTGTTTCAGAATTTATCCTGTCTTTTTAGTATTTCAGAATAACCCTAATCAATGAAATAAAGCTCTTCTTTACAGAAGAATTCAAGTTAATGTAGAGGGAATGACAGCATTAGAAAATCACCATTTTGTAACTCCCAATTAAGTACTTGATTGAGGCAAGAATCATCAGTGGTAAGAAAGCCATTAGGTGAAAGGCTGATGTGATGTGAAACTGGGTATTTGCATGGTGCTAAAGAATAACCTCATGTAAACAACTCAGTGTCCTTCAGCTGGTAAGTGGATTAACATGCTGGTATGTCTACACAGTGGAACACTACTCAGCAATAAGAAGGATTGATAAGCATCACAACATAGATGGATCTCAAATGCATTATGCTATGAGGACAAAAGCAAACAGAAAGGCTACATACTAGAGATTCTGTGTACAGGCACACCTTGGAGATACTGCAGATTCAGTTCCAGAACACTGCAGCACAGCGAGTATGACCATAAAGCAAGTCACATGAACTTTTTGGTTTCCCAGTGCATAGAAGAGCTTGTTTACACCTTACTGTAGTTTATTAAGTGTGCAATACATTGTGTTTAAGGGCTTCTCTGGTGGCTCAGATGGTGAAGAATATGCCTGCAATGCAGGAGACCTGGGTTCAATCCCTGGGTCCGGAAGATCCCCTGGAGAAACTCCAGTATTCTTGCCTGGAGGATCCCAAAGAATTCCATGGACAGAGGAGCCTGATGGGCTATAGTCCCTGGGGTCGCAAAGAGTTGGACATGACAAGCAACTACACTACTACTACATTGTGTTTCAAAGCAATGTACAAGCTTTTTTGTACATTGTGAAAACTCTTTTGTAATTAAAAAATACTTTATTGATGGGGGTGGTGGGGAGGATAGATTGGGAGTTTGGGATTGGCAGGTGCAAACCATCATATACAGAATGAATAAACAAGGGCCTACTGTATGGCACAGGAAAATATTCAATATCCTGTAATAAACCACAACAGAAAAGAATATGAAAAATAATATATGTAAATATATAACTGAATCATTTAACTATGCAGCAGAAACTAATACAACTTTGTAAACCAATTACACTTTTATAAAATAAAATTTAAAAATTCTTTATTGTCAATAAATGCTAACCATCATCTTGACAAAGCAGGATTGCCACAGACTTCAATTTGTTTAGAAAAAATGCAATTATCTGTGATGTGCAATAAAGTGGAGTGCAGTAAAACAAGATATGCCTGTGTATGACATTGGCAAAAACTATATGGGCAGAAAACAGATCAGTGGTTGTCAACAGGTACAGTGTAAATATTGACTAAAAAGTGCATGGGCAAATTTTGGGGTGGGGGTGATAGAAATGTATTATCTCTTGATGGTGGTGATGATTAAGTGTATGAATTTGTCAAAAGTCACACTCTAGGGACTTCCCTGGTGGTCCAGTGGTTATCTATACTTCCAATGCAGGGGGCACAGGTTTGATCCCTGGTTGGGGAACTAAGATCCAGTATGCCTTGTCACGGCAAAAAAAAAGACAACAACAACAAAAAAGCCCTCACACTCTAAAATGGATTAATTTTACTGTATAACTTCATTAAACAAACAGAACTAAGGAAACAGAAACCGCCCCATAGATTACTCAGTGGTCCCAGGGTATGAAACATACCTTTACAACACGGAAGTCTGGCTGTCACAGCCTCACCGGTGATCAATTTCATCCCCACTAAAGTGAGACAACCAGAGGCTGGGTGTCTCCTGGTGTCATGCAATTTGGAGTACAGAACAGCATCTAGGAGATACTGGGGCTTCCCTGATAGCTCAGTTGGTAAAGAATCCACCTGCAATGCAGGAGACCCCGGTTCGACTCCTGGGTTGGGAAGATCCCCTGGATGGGGATAGGCTACCTACTCCAGTATTCTTGGGTTTTCCTTGTGGCTTAGCTGGTAAAGAATCTGCCTGCAATGCGGGAGACCTGGGTTCGATCCCTGGGTTGAGAAGATCCCCTGGAGAAGGAAAAGGCTACCTACTCCAGTATTCTGGCCTGGAGAATTTCATGGACAGTCCATGGGATCCCAAAGATTTGGACACGACTGAGTGACTTTCACTTCCACTTCCAAGCCTTTAGATCTAATTTCTGGGGTGCAGGGAGAACTAGAGACAGAGGAAAAAGTTAACAACACCCAAGGAAACAGCAAACAAATCCAGAATATTGATGGGGCATCTCAAAGAACTCTTCAGAAAGGTAAGTATCATGACCAAAAAAAAGGCAAGTGAGGTGGGTAGGAGGTGGGAAGGGTGGTTCCATCTAGATTGGAAGTGATTGAACAGACATATAATCCTCGTTTGGTCCCTGCTTTGAACAAACTAGCTATAAAAGACATTTTGGGGGCAACTAGGGAAATTTGAATATGGGATGTATTAGATAATATTAAGACATTATGTTGGGGACTTTTCTGCTGGTCCAGAGGCTAAGACTCTGTGCTCCCAAATGCAGCGGGGGCCTGGGTTCCATACCTGATGAGGGAACTAGATCAGGGAATTAGATCCCGCATGCTGCAACTAAAGAGTCACATGCCACAACTAAGACTCCCTGCAGCCAAATAAATAAATACATATTTTTTAAAAGTTATTGTTAACTTTACTAGGTTTGGTAAAAAGTATTATCTAATGAGGGCTCCCTGGTGGCTCAGAGGTTAAAGCGGCTGCCTGCAATGTGGGAGACCTGGGTTCCATCCCTGGGTCGGGAAGATCCCCTGGAGAAGGAAATGGCACTCCACTCCAGTATTCTTGCTTGGAGAATTCCATGGACGGAGGAGCCTGGTGGGCTACAGTCCATGGGGTCGCAAAGGGTCGGATACGACTGAGCGACTTCACTCACTCACTCACTCACTATTGAGTTTCCCAGGTGGCGCTAGTAGTAAAGAACCCGCCTGCCAATGCAGGAGATATAAGAGAGGCAGGTTCTATCCCTGGGTTGGGAATCCCTGAAGAAGGGTACGGCAACCCACTCCAATATTCTTGTCTGGAGAATCCCATGGACAGAGGAGCCTGGAAGGCTACAGTCCATAGTGTCACACAGAGTCGGACACAACTTAAGTGACTTAGCATTCCTGCGTGCATTGTTTAGTTTACTTTAAAGTACTTTTGGCAAGATAGACGAATAAATAGATGAAGGGAGAGGAAGAAGTAGTATGAAGGGGGAGAATCGGCTGTGGGTCAGGCACCGAGCCTGCTGCACTTAGAATGAAATGCCAGCTCCTTATGGAGGCCTCCAGAGGTTGGAGGGGACGGGCCCTTGCTCGTGTATCGGTCCTCCCCTCTCAGCACTCCTCCTAACCACCTCCCTAGCAGTTCCTTCCACCTGCCCTATAGACTGGTCCCCTCTCTTCTCCGGATGACTCCTTCTGAGGTTTCAGCCTAAATGTCACCGCAGAGAGACCTTTCCCCACATCGGACGTAGGTTCCACTTCTCCGCCCCTGCTTTTGGTTGCCGGGCTGCACTCTACCACCCGCGGTGACGGTGTTTATGTGTTCTGTCTGACTAGCGCTGAAACGTAAGGCCACCACCGGGTCCCCAGAGCCTACACTGATCGCGCACCTGTTCGCGCCCTGCGCCCAGCTGCAAGGGTCTCTGTTTCGGGAAGTTGCTGCTGTTTACCGCTGGGATTGCCCACCAGGTCCTGGACTTAGCCGCGTGGCTTCTCACAGCCAGAGTCAGCTGCAACCCAGGACCTCACACCTGACCCCGGAACCCGCCGGCGCCAGGCAGCGGGAACCAGGTTCTTCCGCCACCTCCCAGCCAGGTGACTGACCGAAGCCTTTCCCACACCCCAGGGCCCTCTACTCTGGAACTCCACCCCTTACAGGCTTTACCACCTACAAGAGGAACTACATTTCCCAGCAGCGTCCGCAGCTCCCAGCATACTCTTGGGCGCCGCTCCGCCTCCGGCATTAACCCCTTGGTGGCTGCAGGCTTGCGGGAGCGGCGCTGGGCGAGGTAGCCTGAGGCGGGACGGGGGACGGGGTTTGTGTGTGTGTGTGTGTGTGCAGCAGAACTGAGAAGAGAGCTGGAATGGGGGCCTTGGGGAGGAAGGGAGCCAGGGTTAACCGAGGGCAGGCAGCGGGAGCTGGAGGAGGGGGATGGGTAGGAGGCGAGACATTGAGCGTCCGCCCCTCGCGAAATTAGGAACCTGGAAGTTCACCTTTTCCCGCAAAACGAACCCTTTCGGGTGCCAGGCCCAGAGCGGCGCCGAGGTTGCGGGTGGGGAGGGCAAAGGAGTCCGCCTGGCCAAATGCTTCCCCCTGCCCAACACCTACCTTGGCCTCGGATCTTCCGACACTGGCTTGAGGAAATTGGCAAACTCCCTGCCTTAGCCAGATGGGAACCTATGAGGGTGAGGAAGGGGGACACACCTCTTGGCCCGAGACGCTGACCCGGGAGTTTCCTATGTCCCCCTGGACCATGGCCTGGAGCTTCGGGAGCCCTTCCTGGCGCCCCATCCTCCTCCCTCAAAGTCGGGTGTCCCTGACTCTAGCTCTAATGTACCTGAAGACAACTACATTCCCTCTTACTTGGCCTCGGCCTCGGTCCTGACCAGTGGGTAATGGGCAGGCTCCTCCACCTTGTCTGCCGGCAGAGCCTGTGAACCACCGTTATTCCAGCTCTTATCCTCCAGGCTCATTCCCTCAATCATTGTGGCAACGGAGGTGGGCCTGATTCCTGGGGAGATGAGCGTGCACAGTTCCCATTCTGGGGTGGGAGTGGAGCCAGAGGCAGACAGGAGCTAATAATTTCAGGTTCTGGGAGTGCCATGAAGGGGGTCAGGGAACGGAGGATGCTGCCTCCAATACAGCGGTCAGGAGGGGGCCTCTCTTAAGTTTCTAGACCGAGGGGGACGGCAAGGGCCGGGGATGGGGGTGGGGGGCAGGGAGAGCTGTGTGCTTGGAGCAAGAGGGTTGGCACACAAGGGAGGAAATGAGATGATAGCCTGGGCCCGGGAAGGATATGGTCTTTATTCTAAAATCAGAAAGTGTTCCTGGAAACCCATGGAAGGTGTTAATGAACAAGGCAGTCATATTTCCCAAGTTAGAGCTCTCGAGTGTCCTGGGCTTTCTCAGCATTTTCAGGGATGGGGGAGGGGGTGGGGCGGGGGAGGGACAGCAGGGGCTGTGGCCAAGCCAGCTGATTTCCTGCCAATTCCCATTGACCATGCCCTCCTCTGACCCTCTGGCTTCTCCTTTGAAAATTGGGAGTGATATTGCCACCTCACTGAATGCACACCTGGCCCAACCTGCTGTCATCCTCCCCACAGGGCCTGGCCGCCCCTCCCACAGAATGCCTGAGGGCCCTGAGCTGCATCTGGCCAGCCACTTTGTGAACGAGGCTTGCAGGGAGCTGGTGTTTGGTGGGTGTGTGGAGAAGTCACCCGTCAGCCGCAACCCTGAGGTGCCCTTTGAGAGCAGTGCCTACAGCATCTCGGCGTTGGCCCGCGGCAAGGAGCTGCGCCTGACCCTGAGCCCTCTGCCTGGGGCCCAGCCCCCACGGGAGCCACTGGCCCTTGTCTTCCGCTTTGGCATGACTGGCTCCTTCCAGCTGGTGCCCAGCGATGCGCTGCCACCCCACGCCCACCTGCGCTTTTACACAGCTCCACCTGGCCCCCGACTTGCCCTCTGCTTTGTGGACATCCGCCGATTCGGCCGCTGGGACCTCGGGGGCGAGTGGCAGCCAGGCCGCGGGCCGTGTGTCTTGCTGGAGTACGAGCAGTTCAGGTAGGGCCAGCACCAGGGGTGAGAAATACAGTCCGGGGCTCCAGACATGGCTCGTTAGTCCTTGTTGGCCAATGAGAAGCGAGTTCCAGCCCCTCTGGGCTTCAGTCCTTTCATCTGTAGACCAAGACAGTGTCCTTTTCTGGGGACAACTCCCTGAGCTAATGGATGTGGAAACCCAAAACCTGTAAGAGGAGGTGGGGGCAAGAGGTGGAGGACGTGGCCGATTTTGTCAGAGCTGGGGCTTTCATCAGCATCCCACACTGCTTGGTGCCCGCACAAGGCTAAGAAAAGTAGAGAGGCTTTAACAACCCAAGAAGGGAGGCTGAACAGGAAGGAACTGCTTCAAGGGGGTGGGGAGAGGACCACTGATGACATGGCTTCTGAATCAGGTTGTGGTCTCCCACATCGTGCCAGCCCATGGTCTGTGTTCCCTGGTCTCTCTGTCTTCTGCCTGAGGCGGGGTAAGAGCCCCACCTGGGGTGGGATGCAGGTCACATAAGATGGCCCAGTGTCAGCCACTTCCTTTCCTCTAAAGATAAAACATGCATGTGTCTCCGCTTGGTGCCAGGCCAGTTCTAAGTGTTGAGGGTTCAGCTGTGATCAAGAGGGATGTGGTCCCTGCTCCCACAGAGCTATTTCAGGTAGGGCAGGGGGAAGGGAAAGTGAAAGTGAAGTGAAAGTCACTCAGTCATGTCTGACTCTGTGACCCCATGGACTGGGGCCCGCCATGCTCCTCTGTCCATGGAATTCTCCAAGCAAGAATACTGGAGTGGGTAGCTGTTCCCTTCTCCAGGGGATCTTCCCAACCCAGGAATCAAACTGAGGTCTCCTCCATTGCAGGCGAATTCTTTACCAGCTGAGCTACCAGGGAAGTGCAAAGCTCTAAAGTACAAGCATTCTGACAAGACTCACAAACAGGAAGGCATGGAGTGGGACTTGACAAATCCTTTCTTGGGGAAGGCATGCCTTCGGCTGCCCATTGGGGTGGGTCAGGGCATCTCTGGCCCACAGAAGGCAGCAGACTCCCGGCCTTCCCAGGCATGACCCCAAGTGCACCCCCAGGGAACTATCTGTGTTGTCTTAGATTTCTCCCACTTCACCTTTCCTGGGGGGTCAGGCCACAAGTTAACTCTTTGCCAGCTGGTTCTGAAGTTTCTCTCTTGTGATGAGCATTTTGGCTTGTTTGGTCCTCCAGCTGCAAAGCCTGTGGGGATATGCCTCCCTCTGGGAGCTGACCACCCAGGCTGACCTTCCACTTTACCTTTACCCCCCAAACTGTCTTCTGGCCCCTATATCATTTGCTTCTCATGCCCATCACTGAGTCAGTCTCGTCATGACCCTTTTCTCAAAGAAGCAAGATTCATTTCCTCTTCATGGTGGCAAGGAGAGACCCATGGGGGTGCTGGGGCACTCATCAGCCAGGACTTGCCCCCTTCACTCCTGCTAAACAGCCAGTGCCAGCTTCCTGGAAGATCTTCAGCATCTTGAAAACAGCTGACCCCACCAATGTCAAATCTTCATGTCTAAGCAACTGGAAGTCCTGGAGATGGAGTTCCAGACTGCAGGCACACCTGAGGTCCTGTGATCACCTTGTTCCCCAAAGTATCTTGAATCTGAGCCACTATGGTGACATGCAAACCACATACCTAGATTCAAGTGTTTTCTTGAGCATGTTCCTTTAGATTGGCATTTTTAACCTTTTATAATGAATTGAAATCCCACATTGTTGTTCCTATTTAACAGAAAATGGAGGTTCCTGCTGCCAAATACCACGGAGGCTGGGATAATGGGAACTTGGGACTTCTTGTTTCCTTCCCTTGCACCCAGAAATTTCTTCCCCCAGCTCCTCTCCCCTACCCCATTGGGAGGCAGGGAGGGGGAGGGGGGGTGCGGGCAGGCAGAATGGGTCTCATGTGCCCAGGCTGTGTCCCTCCAGGGAGAATGTGTTACGAAACCTAGCAGACAAGGCCTTTGACCGGCCCATCTGTGAGGCCCTGCTGGACCAGAGGTTCTTTAACGGCATTGGCAACTATCTGCGGGCGGAGATCCTGTACCGGTCAGCAGGCAGGCCTTGGGCATGAGGCGGGGGTGGCTGGGTATGCTCACATTCCCCTCTGCTTAGCACCCCTCTCCACCTCCCTGCAGGCTGAGGATCCCCCCCTTCGAGAAGGCCCGCACAGTTCTGGAGGCCCTGCAGCAGCGCAGGCCGGTGAGGGTGCCAGGAGGGATGCACCTGCACCTCTCAGGCAGGCGGACAAGGGTTGGGGCTGGGTCAGGTGTCTGTGGCTCAGCTCGAGCAGGTCCCTTCTCATTCCAGCCTGTGTCTACAATGTGTGTGTGTGTGTGTGTGTGTGTGTGTGCGCGCACACGCGCGCACGAGAGTGTGGGAGGTGATGGGGGCTGCTGATGAACTGTCCGTGTCTGCCAAGCTCAGAAGGGGCCTGTTCTGTGAGGGATCAACTGCCTTCTGAGCAGCCTTGCTTCATGCTAACATCCAGGTCCTACCCCTGCCCCTTCTCCAGAGCCCGGAGCTGACCCTGAGCCAGAAGATCAGGGCCAAGCTGCAGAACCCCGACCTGCTGGAGCTGTGCCATTCAGTGCCCAAGGAAGTGGTCCAGCTGGGTGAGGCCTGGGAGGCAAAGATGGCTGGTTAGCTTTGCTTTGGCATATCATGTAACCCAGGACAGTTCCTGCCCCTCTCTGGGTCTGGTTCCCTCCCCGGAGAACGGAAGTTTGTTGACCTAGTCGTTTCTAAATGGACTACACCTCCTTCACAGATCTTCACTTGGTGGGTGTCTGTGTCTCCTGAGCTGCCCATGAGGCAGGCAGGGCAAGGATTCTTAATCCGACTTCAGGATGGGAAAGCCATGGCCCAGAGTGGGGAAGACACCAGCTTGAGGTCACACAGCTGGAGGAGGGAGAGCCTTGGCCCCCTGACTCGGTCCATCAGCTTTGAAGCTGATGTCTAAGCCAGGTCTAACTGGGCTCCCCCTCCTCTCAGCCTAAGTCAGCCCTCTGATCTCCGCCTGGTTCCTCTGTCCCACAGGGGGCAAAGGCTACGGGCCGGAGAGTGGGGAGGAGGACTTTGCTGCCTTCCGAGCCTGGCTGCGGTGTTACAGCGCACCAGGCATGAGCTCCCTGCGGGACCGGCATGGCCGCACCATCTGGTTCCAGGTTTGGGCTCTAATGGTTGTACAGGCAGAGACCTAAGGAAGCTGGTGAGATGGAAAGACCTGGGGTCACACTGGTCCTGAGGGTCTAAGCCTTCCCTGTGCTATGCTCCGCCCCTCCTCTGAGTCCTAGGGTCCCCACTAGTGGCGCAGCCCCAGAGCAGGGGGACCTTGCTGCTGGTGCTGACCTGGGGGGTGGGGAGGGGACAGTCAGGCTTCCTTGGGGAACGGCTTCACTGATCTGGAAGGACAGGTATGATTCTGCCTCTCCAAGGAAACTACCCCTGCCAGGCTGACTCCTGAATTCTCCTGATTCCATTTTAGGGGGATCCTGGACCCCTGGCACCCAAAGGTAAACTCCTAATGTAACGAGAGCAGAGAGAACTAGTTGTGCAAGGGCCAGAGCACCCTTCTCCATCCCAGTCCCCTGTTCCGACGCTGGCAGTCACTCCAGAGTGGGAGCGTGGGAGTCTAGACAAAGGGGGCCGAGGCCACAGGACCCTCCAAGCCCATCAGCATCAATGTCCTGCAGGGGGCAAGTCCCGCAAGAAGAAGTCATCCCAGGGAGCACAGCAGGGTCCTGAGGACGGAGCGGAGGTATGGCTCCCTGCTCCTCCCTGTCCCTGCGCTCTCTCCTAGTCCAGCCACACCTCCCAGGCCAGGCTCTAAGGCAGCTCCTTTCCTTGACAATGGAGGGCAAAGGTGGGTCCTCACCCACCTGACCTGCTGGGCTCCTCGGGGACCTTTGTCTTCTCCACCCAGGACCCTCCATCTCCAAACAAGGCCCCTTCAAGGACACGAAGGGCACAGAGAGGCCTTCCTAAACAGACTACAGCCCAGCTGCCCGAGGGGACCAGCCTCCACCAGGACCCAGAAGCGCCCCCAGTCCCTGACACAGGGAAGAGGCGGCGGCGACCGGCACCCTCAGGTGGGCTCTCCTCAGCAACTTCCTCTGGGGAGGGACGGACCACCACAGTGAGCGCCCCAGAAGGGATGGCAGTGTGGGTGGGAGGAATACGTGCACAAAGGCGGGAGGGGCGCTCTTGGAGAGTCCTCGGCCAGGGACTGCCATCTCACCTGTCCTTCCCCAGGCCGCCGCAGAACCCGAAAGACCAAGGCTGACACCCCATCCCTGGAGCCTGAGGGGACCTCAGCCTCCTAGCAAGAGGCTCTTCTTGCTTGTGTCCACCCCTCCTCCTGGCACCCTTGGTCTGGGCCTGTGTGGCTTCCTAGAAGTTGCAGGGAACTGGATGCTCCAACCCTATGGCCATTCCCTACACAATTACGTTTTTAATTGTACCCCACTATCCTCATTTTTTAAGCCCATGTGAAAAATGCTAATTTTTAGTAAACGCATAAACTTGAACTTCTTGGCACTTCTTGGGCTGACTGCAGAAGGTCTGGGAAGGCTGAATGTGAAGGGCCTGCTGCTCAGTCCTGAGGACAGGAGGTCACGGCTTCTGCAGGGACGGCCCCTCATGGGTGGGGCAGAGGACCCCTGCCCAGCTAGCCCAGACTCTACAGCTCCTCCAGTCCAGGACTCCTCAGGGCCTGTGGCTGCTCCCCTAGCCTAGTCCAGGCTAGTCAATGCTTCCCTCCTAGTCAGGGTCAGTCAGAACCCACCCACCAGGCCTTCTCCTCAGCCCCAAGCCCTCTATCCGTGGGTACAGGGGGAAGTGCTTCTTTTTTTTTTCCCATTTGGGATCTAAGTTCCCTGACCAGGGGTTGAACCCACGCCTCCTGCACTGGAAGCTCATAGTCTTAACCGCTGGACTACCATGAAGTCCCAGAACACCGTCTTGCATCATGGTCTTTCAGTCAGCTTATGATCACCAATATCCCGGGTCTCTCTCATGGGGGCTGCAATCCAGACGCTGCATGTACAGATAACCTTAGGTCTTGCCCTTGCCCCCAAATGCCTGGGGTAAAAACTGTCCCCTCAAAACCTGAGGATGGGCCCTGAGGGGACTGAGCAGGGGCTACCAGCAGGGTCCTGAGCCAAGGGTTTATTGTTCAAGCGGTAACTGACCCTTGCTTCAGGCTCAGGAGGCAGAACTGAGGGGCTGCCAAAGCCTTCCACAAACAAAACCCCACCCTCAGGAACTCAGTTCGGTGGGGGCTGCAGAACGAGCAACAAGGACTGCACTTGGAAGGGAGTAAAGGTGAGCTTCAGGCGGTTGTCCCGGAGGAGTAGGGGCCCAGAAGGGTCGCGGCGCTCCAGGAGGTCACAGCTGGAGAACAGGAAGTGACCATGAGGGCCCCGCGAGGGCAAGACCCCTACTGCTACCCTGCACCCCTACTCACAGGACGGCCTCCTGAACCGGTAGCAACGTGTGCAGCCAGCAGTCGGTGTGACTACCGTGGGCCTCGTAGAGCCGCAGCAGGAGTGTGCGGCCCTGGGGGCTGGTCTCCGCCTGCGGAGGGAGGTGTGGTGGTGGGCGGGGTCTACGGCAGGCCCCGCCCCGAACGCGCCCCTGCCCCGCCCCGCCCCTTGCCTGCTTGACAGTCTCCAGCACGACCGCAGGCGAGGACACTGAGAAGGCGCTCCAGGCAGCAGTGGGCGCCGGGCCCGGGGCGGGCAGCGCCAGCAGCGGGAAGTTGAGGCTGTAAGCAGCGGGGATAACGCCAGCGTCCTGGAACGAGCCTGGGCGCAGACCGGAAAAGGGACGTGTGGGGGAACATGGGGTCAGGGTGCGGGACTACAGGCATTTTCCCCACTTACCGTTGGGGCAGCGGAGGCCGAGAAGGGCAGAGGAATATGGGGCGCAGCACTCACCCTTGTGCGGCATCAGCGCGTAGGTGAACTCGTGGCGTCCCATGTCCACGGTGGCGTCAGGGGACTTAGGCGCTCGCAAGCTGCGGTGGGGAGGGTGGGAAAGGACAGGCCGGAGCTGCTGCAGTTCTCTCCTGGCAAGACTGGGATCCCATAGCAGTCCCTGGGGGGCACCCCACTCACAGCGAGAGGCTGAGGACGTTGCCCCGTACTGACGCACCATACTTGCAGTCATTGAGCAGAGCCAGCCCAAAGCCGTGCTCTGACAGATCCATCCAGCGGTGGGCCCACACCTGCAGCGCAGATCAGAGACCCGCCTGGTGCCCCCCCCCCCCCCCCCNNNNCCCCCCCCCCCCCCCATGTGCTCCAGAGCTCCCTGTCCTAGACTGAGGGATGCTTTGGGACCTCACCACTGACTGAATTCCAGCTCTCACCTCGGAAGGCCCTGGGCACACCACACAGCCTGTCTAAGCTTCAGTCCCTCATCTGGGAAAGGTGGATTAAGAGTCCTTACCCCATCAAATGGGCATGAATATCAAACTGAACATAAAGCACAATGCCTGGCATACATGCCAGGAACCATCATGTTCCTCCTCACCCCATACCAAACAACGAGTCGTTCCCCAGCCAGGGAGGAGCCAAACCTTCCACCCCACACCACCCCATGGCAGACCTCAAATCGAGCCCAGTCCCAAGAGGTGTTGTAGTGGGTGGGCCGCTGCAGATGTCCAAACTGGACCTCATAGGTGGCCTGGGGGCTGCGCACACGGGCAGGGAACTCCACCTTCAGGAACTTGTGGGCCTCGTGCCAGTGCACCTGTGGGGGGTGGGGGACAAGGGGCTGGCCCCTCCTCACCAGCCACACCCAGGGAAGATACCCACCACCCTGCCCCCTGCTACCTCAGTGTGGAAGCGGACATAGGGGCAGCCAACGTCCAACACAACCTCCTGGCTGAGCCGACTATTAGGACTGATCTGCAGCAGGAACCAGGCGCTGCCCCGCACACCACCCTCAGTGCCCACTGCCAGGGTCCCTGCCTGGCCCAGCACTGGCTTCCTGTGCAATAGGAGGGAGAGGCGCTGAGCCAGGACAGCCTGGCAGAGTGGACCCAGTACACTTGTTCGTATTCCCACTACCACTACCCTGAATCCTGCCCACCCCTCACCGTGTTTCTAGGTGGTAGTCCATGACGTCCCACGCATCCCAGTACAGGGGGACATCATCAAACAGCACAAACTGGTTCCCCACGGCGCCCTCAGCAATGGCCTCCCTGGAAAGACATGGACATCAATACTTTATAACCGAATGATCTTGGTCTCCTAGCTGTTTGAGGTAGGTGGGGTGGAGAGTAGGGTGAGTAGGCCCTGCTCCATGTGTGGGTCCCAGTCCAGAGCCACTTGTGGGCTACTGTGGTCAGCTGTGGCCAGGGGACAGAGGGAATGAGAGGTCTGGGGTCCACCTGCCAGGCACTGGGAGAGGGCAAGGGGTAAGCACCTGCCAGAGGCCACCAGCACCAGGGATGTCAGGCGGCCAGTTGGGTCCAGCCTCACTCGGATGATGCCGTTGTCCAGAGTCACAGAACTGTCAGTCTTGGTGGGAGGGTGCCTTGAGGCTAGGTCTGCAGGGGCGTCCCGCAACCAACAGCCCACCTGACCTCCAGCCCCAGCCCTGCCTCACCACTTGCTCCAGACTGGGGAGCTCAGAACTTCCACACTTCTGTTAGGGACAGCCCAGGACAGCCCCTGCCCCACCGCCACAAGCCAGCACTCACCTCTTGCACTACGAACACAGGCTGCTGGGGCAGCAAGGGCTGCAGTGAGGTGGGGGTGGGAGCAGGAGCAAAGCCCATGCTGGGGACGGTGACCAGGGCTGGGGAGGAGGCTGGGTGTCAGGGCAGCCTCCTTGACCTTTCAGGAACCATACTTGGAGCAGGGTAGGGTGGGGTGGAGGGAGTAAATACTACTCCTCCTCTCTAGCCTGGGGCACCCTGGGGCAGAGACCCCCAGGCCAATGTCCCTGACTCTCAATTTGGCCTTGATCTCTCCTGCCACAGTAGACACCCTTCTCCCCAGCTCATACCTAAGGAGTGGGCCCCACCAGGCCGGGGCAGGGCCAGAACTTCGGTGCGCTTCCAGGGCAGCGTGTTGACAATGAGAAGGCCCTCAGGACCTGGCTCCCCAGCACACAGGGCTGCAGCTGCAGCACTGAGCAGTGTGTTGCCATGGGAACGGATGTCTGGGGAGAGACTGGTTGGTTATGGGTGGGCAGGGGGTCCGGGTGACCCCTCAATGTCCCATGGGGGACACTCTGGGCGCTGCACCAGGTGCTGGAAAGCTGTGGAAATGTTATCAGCCTCACCTTCGTAGTGGCACATGGCTTCCTCTGCCACCAGCTGGATGCAGCTCCCAGTCACCACATCATGGAACTGGGTCAGGAGCAGGAGCCTGCGGGGGCCAAGGACAGGGCTGAGAAGGATGGGAGGCTGGGGAAGGATGGGAGGCTGGGGAAGGCTGGGAGGCTGGGGCAGCCACAGAGGCGTCTGGGTGAAGTTAGCAGGTGGCAGAAGATGTGCTGACCTCCAGAGATCCTGCAGCAGGGCAGCTGGGTAGAGGAACTGGGCACTGCGGGCCAAGGCCAGGCTGCTGAGCAGCTCCACGTCATGCAGGATACGCTCACACTCCCGGTTCCCCTTCTTGATCTGAGCCCAAGGGAGGGGGACTCAGTCTAGAGCCTGGGCAAGCATCCCAGGGCCCCCCTGCCAAAGCCTTCTCTTGCTCAGAACCCCTGATGCTCTCCAGGAACTCCTGGATGAAGCCTTATGTGTTGTCTGTCCCAAAAGCCTGCCTCCTCTCCCCTCTGCCCAAGACCCTCCCCGCTAAGAGATGCTGAGTCCCACCACCTCCAGGCTCCTAAGCACCCAGCTCTTGCACTCTTCTCAGCTCTTCCATGGAACACAAGCCTCTTCCCCCAGGTCTGGGCCACTCTAGGGCACCCCCGCTTCGCTGGTTCAGCAGCCAGATCCTGACCTGGGCATGGGTGGTGTAGGTGCCGTTGTGTAGCTCCAGAAAGAGCTCCCCAACCCAGGTGCACAGCTGCTCTGAGTGGCCCTCCAGCGCCGAGAAGAGTCGCTCCGGAGAAGACAGCTGCACCCTGAGGGAGACTGCAAACCTGGGTTTCCCAGCCTGGGCCATGTGACTCACCCTTCTTCCATGCAAGTGTGACAAGAGGTCCAGCCCCGACAGAATGGAGCCACCCCCAGAAGACTCCCTGTCCAGACAAGGCCAGGTCTGGACACCCCCCCCAGGAGAGTTCTGTTTTAGTGGCTTTAAGCTCCTTCCCACCTTCAGCTTTTCTCCCACCCCACCTCCAGGGTAGAAGTTGGGAGGTGCCCATGGTCTGGGATTGGAGGGAACAAGGTTGAGGGGAGGCACTGGGCCCAATGTCTGAGCAGAGGCAAGGCTCAGGGCAAGGGCAGAGGGTGGGGTGGAGTGAATCCAGGCCTGACCTGGGTAGCCCATCGGTATTGCATAGCCGCTTCAAGCGGTCCACCATGGTCTGGGTGGGGCCACCACCTCCATCCCCAAAGCCAAAGAGGAAGGCAC